TTGTTAAACTATTAACACCTGTAACTCTATTAATAATATTACTTGTAATAAGTAGGCAATTGTTGATTTAAATGTGAAGTCAGTGGTAACTTATTGCCACCCTACAGGACTTGCTTTGAAGCCACTGTGTTCTGTAATAGCTTAACACAGTCTCCTTTCTTTCCCTTTTTCTTTACATCAAATTCAGGGGTCACAAAATGCCCTTTCCAATTATTAGCCAGTGATAAGAGCTTGAAAGATTTTCTGATAGCTTGCTTGAGAGCACTGCAAGGCACTTTAACTCTAGTTGTGAGAAGTGTGATCTTTAAAATTGCATCTTCCTGATTATAATCCACATGCCAAACAGTTTAGAACTTCCAGCCTTTTACCTATTGGCAGCTAGGGCAGATCACAAAGCATTATGCATACATAAATTCCCAGTGGGTTACTCCATTGAATAAGCAGGCATCCTCCTTATCCGCAAGAGAGTATTATGTTAACTTTTGCTTGTGGTATCAGAGACGGGGTGAATTTTAGGCAGGGTCTGCATCAGAAAGCAAATTTTCAAGCAGGTGCAGATAGAAGAAATTGCTTGCCATACTAGAATAGTCCAGGTTGTAATAAATCTAGAATCTACACTTGCATTACAAATAGCAGTTGTATTCTATGAGTCTTTGACACTTTACTTGCTTTTTGGGCTTCTCCCAACCTGTCAACATTGTCAATCCCATGTGAGCTGGATCACCAGAAACTAACTCATATCTCCAGATTGATCTAGGCACTAAGTAATTCATTCCACTGCTTCAGCTAGATCAGACTTGCTAAATGCAAAGATCTGAATGTCATCAGCATGTGGAATAAATTGCAGTTCATGCCGCCTTAGTCATGCTTCAGTGACACTTCATGAGAGAGATGCCTTGAGGAAGAGGAACAATTGTCCACTGAGTCCTTCAGAAGGACTCAGCAATTTGTCTTTGTCATTCACTTGACTGACAGAAACAATAGAACCCCAATAGAATGGTCTTTTCGTACACGTCTGTTTCTGATTTTTTCCAGACACGGGTAAATCCAGGGATCTTTGAAACACTCAGGATTCTGACCACCACTTTTGTCTAAGACTTTTTCCAAAAAAAAGAAAGACTATAAACTGGTCAGTAGTTAAGACTGTTTACCTCAAGGGTTGTTTTCTTAAGGGGCCTTTCAGATTCTTCAAGAATAATGAATCCTGCCCCTTCTCTTACAAGGGAAGTGTCTGTCAATGCGTATTCAGGGGCCTGAATACTTCCCTGTCGGCCTTCAGTACTTTCAGAGCGCAATGATTCCGTTAATGAGTACAGTATAAAAAGGCTGATGAATATTTAAGGGTAGTGATACTCAAGAGCATTGTCTAAAGAACAGGAAAATTGTAGAGTTAAAGAAGACATGAGAAGGAATGACATCACATCTTCAAATCTAACCACCCTTTTCACCACAGCAGTGCTGCTTTTTACTACAGCATGTAGTAAATGATTTCACAGGATTAGAAGAATGATGTTACATCCCTCAGTTTCTCTTCAGTTGCTTAGCTTTTTGTTTGCGAGTGCTTGCATTTTCCCCAAAGGTGCTCAATAAAACTGAAATACATTAGATTCCATATCCTGCGTTTCTATGGGAAACTCTATAGTGATAAAATTCCCTCAATTTTTAAAGGGACAGGATCAGGCACTTAATAAATATACAAATATTTTACTTTAAAGTGGAATTATTAGTGACATGAGTATGGTATGAATACTATTTCTTAGGTGTGCTGACATGCAAATTTAAAGCTTGTCATAGTATGTGGAATAGTTGCATATGTATGTTCTTAGCAATAGGTCACGTGGCAGTTTCCTAAGATACAAAATAACCTTGTGTGTTTAATTCTGCTTCCTTTTGTGTTACAGCTATCTGAGAGAATAGAGGATTTCGATTACATGTCTGAGTTGACTGGGTTCATGTCAGAGACACACCTTGAACTCTAATAACCCACAGTACTTATTTGCATTTCAGCGAGTCTAGGGGATTTTCCAGGTATCTGCGTTGTCAGTTAATTTCTTCAGAGGCACAGGTGTAAGATGCAGCATGAAAATAAAGTTGATATCTGTATATTGTCTAGGTTTACCAGTGACTGGGAATATACTGTAGTATAATGAGCACCATAGAAAGAATTGAATATACTGAACAGCTTCTTTTGGCTCAAGGTCATCTTGTGATTTTATTTACTTATTTACTTGTGTGTGTATAGATATAGATCTAGAGATCTATATCCACACACACATGCATACACGTACAAATAAGTAAATAAGGGCGTGTGTGTGTGTGTAAGCATACTATTATGCTTTGTTTTATTTTTAAGGTTTGCCCTCCTTTTGCTTTTTGGAAATCAGAAGAAACCTGACTAGACAGAGAAATAGTACAAATGGCTACACTCACTGAAAAGTTGCCAAATATCCAAACTAAAAGAAAAAGAAAAAAAAATCTTTTAACCACTTTCAGTTACAATAATCCCAATAATAATAGCAAGTAAAACAACTTTGGACAACTTGGGGGGGGGTGTAATTGTCAGAATATATTGTCAACACGTGTACATGTATATAAAGATCATAAATAAAAAAATAAGTAACATGCATCACTTAGGGGTTTTTTTGGATTTACAGGAGTACAAATAAAAGAGGAATCTAAACTATTTCATTTGCTGGTGAAAGTCTTTATAGAAAATGTAAGCATTTTCAAACAAGTGTGAAGATAAAAGAAACTAAGACCACCCCCCCCTTCTACATGTTACAGGTATGACACAATTAATAGGTGCCTTGACACTAACTACTTTTCAGTTTGGCCATTTGTACTGTTTCTCTGTCTAGTCAAGTTTCTTCTGATTTCGAAAAAGCAACAGGAAGGGGCAAACATTAAAAATAAAGTAAAGTTGGTCTCTCTCTTATGCTTGGCCATGGGCATTGTGCTACTTCCATGATGAACTCAAAAGCCATGCTAAGAAGCATGTCTTGCCCATTTGCTCCAATGTAGCGTGTGCCAGAGCCTGGAAATTAGACAGAGTAGCCAGTTTAGTGTGACTGTGTGTGTACCCAGAGCAGTTCTCAGGCTGTCTTGAACTTCTTGGTCTATGTGCATTAAACTGGCTAACGTGTCTGATTTCTAGGCTTTGGTATGTTTGGGAGGGTGGACGGGCGGGTACTTCTGAGCAGCATTCCCAGGCTCGCCACAAAGGCAGTGTAGAAGTGATCTGTGCACCTTGTAAATAAGGACCAAAACTTTAAAAAAAAAAAATTGTCTTTCTTTTTCTTTCTGAAAAGCCCTGTAAAGAGACTTCGTCCCCATTTTCAAAAAAGGGAGGAAGGAGGACCTAGGTAACTGTAGACCTGTTAGTCTTACCTTGGTCCTGGGGAAGCTCTTTGAGAAAATTATCCAGGAGCACATCTGCGAGGGACCAGCAGGGGAGATCATGCTCAGGGGCAACTAATGTGGGTTCATTAGGGGCAGGTCCTATCAGACCAACTTGCTTGCCTTTTACAACCAGGTCACAAAATCCTTGGATGCAGGTGGATGTAGTCTTTCTGGACTTTAGGAAGGCCTTTGACACTGTCTCTCACCCCATTCTCATTAAAAAAATTAGGCGACTGTGGCATGGATGCCTACACAGTCAGATATGGGTGGCAAATTGGCCAGAGTGGTGGTGGACGAGTCATTTTCAACCTGGAGGGATGTGGACAGTGAGGTCCCCCAGGGCTCGGTCCTTGGGCCCGCACTGTTCAACATCTTCATCAGTGACTGGGATGAGGGGGTGAAAAGCACCTTGTTCAAATTCACGGATGATACTAAGATGTGGGGAGAGGTGAGCACGATATAAGGGAGGGACAGGCTACAACTAGATCTGAACAGGTTACAGGGGTGGGCAGATGAGAATAGGATGGGATTCAAAACTGATAAGTGCAGGGTACTGCATCTAGGGAGAAAGAACCAGCAGCATACCTATAGCCTGGGGAACTTCCTTCTCATCAGCACAGAGGCAAAAAGGGATTTTGGAGTCATTATTGATTCCAAGATGAACATGGGCCGCCAATGTGAGGACGTGGTCAGTAAGGCTAACCACATCTTGTCATGCATTCACAGATGCATCACAGGCAGGTCCAAGGAAGTGATCCTCCCCCTCTGTGCGACACTGGTCAGGCCCCAGTTGGAATACTGCATCCAGTTCTGGGCGCTGCCCTTCAGGAGGGATGTGGACAGCATTGAGAAGGGTCCAGAGGAGGGCCACTCACATGGTTGGGGGCAGCAGGGCAGGCCCTACGAGGAGAGACTATGGGATCTGAACCTGTTCAGCTTCCACAAGAGAAGGCTGAGGGAGGATCTGGTGGCTGTCTATAAACTTACCAGGGGGGACCAGCGGGGAATGGGAGAGTCCCTGTTCCCCGAGCACTACCAGGGGTAACTAGGAATAATGGCCACAAGTTGACTGAGAGTAGGTTCAGGCTAGACATCAGGAAGACTTCATAGTTAGGGTGACTAGGATCTGGACCCAACTTCCAAGGGAAGTGGTGCTTGCCCCTACCCTGGGGATCTTCAAAAGGAGGCTAGACAATCACCTAGCCAGGGTCATTTGACCCCAGCATTCTTTCCTGCCCGGGGTGGGGGGTTGGACTTGATGATCTGCTCAAGTCCCTTCCTACCCTACCAACTATGAAATTGTATCGGGGGTCCACAGACTGATCACGACCATCTTTCATGAACTTCTTAGACAATCAAAAGTATATGAATAACTACTCTTACAATTCAGAGGGGTCCACAGCTCCATTTTAAATTTCCAAAGGGGCCTGCACTTCCATTCAAAATTTTTTAGGGGTCTGCTAATGATGAAAGGTTGAACACCACTGTCCTAGTAAATATCAAAGGCATGAGGATACAGTAAGTGAGAGACTTATTTTTATTTTTTATTTAAAAAGTTAAAGCTCTAGTCAACCTCCTCTCCCCCTTTTTTTTCCTTTTAGGAACTCAAAAGATTTCAAGACTTCGTGAAAAGTAGACTTCCGTATGATATTGTGATAGATGGGCTTAATGTTGCCAACTCTGTCAAGAAACTCAACAAATATAAAGTTGTAAGTACTGGTTAATTATTCATAAGCAGTTTCACTCAAGTACACTTTGCCTAAGCATAATGCAATCAGTGCCATCCTTTATAGTTTACCCTTTCGTGCAAGCAATGAGAAGCATTTTTATAACTTTGTGTTGAAACAAAATATGTCTTTTGCATTTAAATGGGGGGTAGAATCGCACAAATTAGAAGGAAGACGGCTGTTCTTACGTGTGTGGTTGGATGAGCAAACTGTATTGGCAAACCTGCAGTCTTTGTTGATTCTTCCCAACATGAAACCACAGGCTAAGTTAAGGGTTGCCTCCCTAGGGAAATCTAACAGCATGGCCATCCTGAAATAAGCTATTTTAATATAGCTGTTCTGAAATAACCAGTCATGTTGATAGTCTATCTGTAATAAAAAAAAATCATGTAATTCCAATAAGTACAAGTAAGGTTTAAGTATTTTTTGTTTCTACAGTTATGATTATTCCAAAATAGTTATTCCTTCATATAGCTACAGAACTTGTATTCCGCTGTAGCTAAGCCTGTCAGTTTCCCTTTGTAAGCAAGCTCTTCATGATAGTTTAAAACCACATCCTGCATAAAATCAAATGTTATTTCACTTCGTAAAGTCTCTTTCAGCCTTGGGTATGTGAGCTGTGAAATTAAATGAGAGCTCAGATCAACTTTGTTAATTTTTTCCTTCCACATTTACTGTAGTGCTTTAGCAATATGAATTAGTGCTCCTCACGGCCACAGCGTGGATTGTTTTTTTCCTGATAAATATTTACAAGTTGGGAGAAGGGGGAAAAAGGGAAAGAAACCATCCCAGCTCCTGATACATCTTTCAGAGTTAGACTCTAAGCTGGGGCGGGTAGTTATTTCGAGTGGAGGGCCTCTTAACAGGGTTTGTTGAGTTTTCAAGGGCTGCATGGGTAGCCCCACCCCATCACAGTTGCCTCGTCCCCTGGTCACCATCTTGGGGTCAGAAGTCCCACCCCCTGACCTTTGCCACTGGAAGTCCTTCCCTTTGCCCCCCAGAAATACTCCTTTTGGGAGGGGGGTTGCCATCTTAGAACCAGAAAAAAAGTCATACACTAAAAGTCAAACACTTGCAATAACATATTTTAATTTTATTACAAAAAATATTTTTGTCATGTTTTGTGTTTGTGTACTGTATATAGAGGCGATTGCACAATAACTCAATAATAAATTCTTAGTTTTGTATATTCTCTGTGGGGGGTATGTATGTTGGGGGCTTTTAAGGGGGT